TGAGCACAACATTTTGCTCGGTGTGGGAAATGTCAGGCGTTGCATCACAAATGATTCCATAGTACATGGCATCCTCCCTTTCCGTCAGAATGGTTTTTAAAACCTTTCCCCCACACAATTCAATAAACTCGTTCTGGATGTCTGGGCTCAGATAATGAGTTAGCTGGCTTCCTTTTTTGGATGTCCTGATTTTGTCTAAGTGGTCTTTCAAGAGTGGATCATATCGTGACAAAAGTTCTAGCGTACCTACAAAATTTCCATTGTGGACATCGCCCAAAGCATGCGTTTTACCTCGGAAAGCTAAATTCCTCGTTGCCAAGTGCAGAGTGACATCAAGGAGTCTCTGCAAGATAGCTTTGTTTTTCTCAATTTCAGACTATAGCTCTCTCTGCAACTGATGATCAACGCCACATGCAGTCATAACCGAACACTGTAGGTGTTTCCATCGCAAATAACAGTCCCTGTGATTCCTACTTGTTTCATGGCTTGGGAATTTATCATACATGCGACGCCACTCGACGTCACACATCTTGTATCCCTGGTCACTACTCAAAGCACTAAGAGAGGGTATTTTTTGCTCCTTGGAGAAAAGAACACATGGTATGCAGAACAGTGCATTTGCACTTTCACTGTGAATCAACCAGTCCCTTTTCACTTTTCCCCTACCCTTATCTGCTTTGGTGTATTTCAAGTAATCTGGAAATCTCTTTCCCTTTGAATCATGTGGAAATTCTTGATCTGTTTCTCGCATTGCTCATTTCTTTACAATAGTTGCCCTGTCCTTGTCACTCATCCTAGCTGGGAACAACCCTGGGTCAAGTGATAGCAGATCTTCTACCTCAGACACCACTACAGGTGGCTCAGTATCTGTGGCATCCTGTGTCGGAGCCTCACTTTGTCCCTGACATTGACTGTCCATAGCTGCTTCCTCCTCATCTGTGCTGCTTTCATGGTCCTCGACCTCTTCTTGTACTGGTACTTCTGCCTCTTCACCTCTGCTCTCCTTGTTGGCTGCCTTGCTCGAGGGGCCTGGCTCTAGAGTATCCATAGTGTACATCATTTATAAAATGCCCTATAATAGTAATAACACAGTACAGCTCGAGCTATTTCTTAATTGTTATAATAATAATAATAATAATAATAATCGTTTGTATAGATATTTTCCAATTGCTCAAATCTAGCTATAGCTACTGTAACAACCTCAATGTAATGTGCCAGTGGTCAATGGTATTGCAATTACTGGAAGAACTAGAGTAACTAAATGTGAATATTACCTAAAGTTGTATTCAATGCATGGTAAGCATATTTAAAATCTGTTTGTTAACCCCAAGCCCTGCTGCTTTACCTCCCTCTCCTTCAACTGGGAGCTGGCCTGAGGGAAGGGGTACTGATCCTGAAGCCGCATCTGTGCATTAGAGCAGATGTGATTAGCATGTAACATTATACAGGTTAGGTTAGCTAGCCATAGCAAAAGGGCATAGCTGCTGGATACAAATTCACTGGGCTCATCAACACTCATCTAATTTTTGATAGCAACAGGTAGCTAACGTCAGCCACAAAATGTTGGTCAAGCTGTTATGGGCTTCAAAACAAGTTCTGTGAATAAATACCTTTCTTGTGAAAATACTTGGTGACTAGCTGTCGACCTCTTTTATTATTTTCCTCTTGCTGACGTTTTTTCTTTAGTTTCTGAGCTCCTGATTCATGAGCTGAAGAGGACATTTTCCTGTCAGTCTGTTGAAGCTGCAAGCTGCTGGTGCGCTGCTGTGCCGCCTAGTTATAGTTGAAAGTGGGGGTGCAAGATTAGTAACTGGCAGGCAAGGGGTGGAAAAAAATTCTGCCATGGAGTGGGTCGTGCCTGACCCACTCCATGGCAGAATTTTTTTAATTTAATGAACACCTGTACGTGCAATTTCCTGCAATATAGAGCACAGAACTGTCTCAAAATCCTATGGGATCCTAAAGGATTCCTATAGGGTTCCAAAAACGTATAGAGATTCCTATAACATTTTTTTACTAGGGATGTTATCCTACACTTTAAGCTGTCTGATATCCCATTACCTGTAACTCTTATGAGTACACTGAACTGGTTTGAATACACAATCTGTATGCTACTCTGTAAAGAAAGGGAGAGAGGGGGGAATATATTATCCAAGTATTTGTGTCTTAATTTGTTATGTTATCCTACACTTTAAGCTGACTGATATTTCCATTACCTGTAACTCTTGTGTCTCTTTCTCTCCTTCTCTGCCTCCTCCCTGAGTTTGCACTGTCACCACCACATCATTCTACACAGGAGAGCAATAATACACGTATGAATACACTGAACTGGGTTGAATACATGATTTTTTCTTTTTTCTGCCATGTTCTACCTGGTTGGCTGGCTACACACACACACACACACACACACAGTGTGCAGGTTAGTTACAGTAGGAGATGGGCTTCTATCATATTATCTTCTATCATTCTATAATTCATTCTTCTTTTATTTTCATTTCAGGTAGTTGTACCTTAAGAGAATTGAAGGCTGACATCTGTAAATGCAGATAGATATAAGTACTTTATTCTTATTTTATTATCATTATCATTATTTTCTTTCCAATTAAATGAAATCAGAAAATAAGTGGTATATGATGGAAAATATGAAAGTCAATGCTTGAAGGAAAATGGACTTCGGAAATCAGTTTTTTATTTTTTATTTACTGTTCTGTAAAAGTCTTGTCGAATGTAATGTTTTATGTTTTGTGTGGAACCCAGGAAGACTAGTTGTTGTCATGCAACAGCTAATGGGGATCCTAATAAACTCAAACTCTAATGGGCTTCGATCTACCAGGTAGCTAGCTAGTCAAACACACACACTGGTTGATGTTACTAGCTAGCTAGCAAACGTCAGCTAACCGCTAGCTAACATAAAGAGTGACCTGTAATTCAATGCAGCGAAAATGAAGAGAAGGTGATGATTATAAATGTGTTTTATTGTATTGAGTGGTAGAAGTACTTATATGATTCTGTTTTTTCAAGGTTGTGTCTTCCTGGTCGAATGTACTTATTGTAAGTCGCTTTGGATAAAAGCGTTAGCTAAATGCAATGTAAAAGTAAAGACATGTCTAACATATTCTTTGTTTGAACAACTTACTGAAAAGGTCTGCCACCAATGACAGACTGGTCGCGGTGATTTACACTCAGCCTACCTGCATCAGGACTGCTGTGGGTGGGAGGCAGTTGATCAAACCATTGTGAGCGAAATGCGGGGGGGGGGTCACAATCTTTGGAAACTTAAAAACTCGCTATTAAGTGTCTATAATCAGCACAAGTTCTTTCATTGCGTATTATTAATTCGATTGAAATTACATACTTATGTTTACAGTGATATATTGGGGGGGGACATATCATATTTTTCATATGATCAAAAAGTGGGGGTGCAAAAGCACACGTTTGCTCCCCCAAGGTCAATTGTGGGGATATACCTGCTCTGCTTGCTCCATTGCTCAGGCGCCCATACCATGCAATGAATGAAGGGAGGGGTGCTCATTCTGTCAAACAGAGTAACAAGCACCTGTTTGTTTCTTTTGTGACGTTTTTTTTTTAATACAGGCAATTATACTTTTGAGTCATCTACATTAACTTACTTTAGGATAATAATAAAACCATATTAATAAAAAGATAATAATAGTGTTCTCTGGGCATAATAATAGTGTTCCCCCCCCCCCCCCCCAGTGCTGGACCCTTGGAATCATCCTAACCTCCCCCCCCCAGCTACGCCCCTGCGACACACACACACACACACACACACACACACACACACACACACACACACACACACACACACACACACACACACAGAAGGAGGGGAAAATATACACACAAATGACCTAACGACCAAGGGTCGTAACAACACACATACAAAACTACAGACATATTTGACAAAAAAGTCCTGACGTTTTCATTTTGTTTTTCTACAACTGTGAGCTTTGATCAGATCAGATAGAGCAGAACCTGTCGCTGGCGAAACGGCCAAATGTAGGGAGTGTAGACCATTAACCATAGCAAGAAACCAGGGGGGTATACTACGAAGCAGGATTTTCGCTTAGCCGGCTAAATTCAGGGAAAACTCCGGCTTTCCGGTCCTACGAAGCTGGTTCTCTTTTTAGCAGGCTTGATCTCCATGTTAACTTATGCTTAGCGGCTAACCTGGTCGGGACCAGGTTAGGTTGCAGGCTAAGAGCTCAACTCAGTGAAAGCACTGCCTGCTGACCAATCAGAGCTCAGTGTGCGGAGTTTAAAGCGATCAAGTCATATTACAGGAGAAAGGAAATACAGAAAAGCTGCCGTCGCAGGAAAGACGGCCGGCAAAAATCACCGACTGTGTGAACGTGAACATTAATAGAATATCACCTCCCATCTTCAGAGCAATCTGACTATTATAACATTAGCGTTAAGAACACTTACCACATATCTACCACAACATAAGTAACCGGATCAGAGTAACATTAAGTACAGTCCGCGGCATATCACTTAATGTTGTAGCCTATCATATTTTCTTATCTGAGTCGTATCTGGCCGTGCAACACTCACAGTGTCACATAGGCCTACTGTATGCAGAAGTATTATTTTAAGCAACACATTAAGTTGACGAAACACTCGAGACAAATGTAATTAAAGTCAGATCGTGTCTTAGACGGGGCAGTGATATCATAAACCTGTTAATGTACGCATTCAAACACTTTTTCTTTTGCCAGCTGTATTCACCTTGCAGGTGCAACTATGTGGCTTTTATCCTGGATAAAGTGTTTAAGTCATGGATGTTTAAAGTTTAACTTCTTCATTTTTGACTAGTATTACAGTTCACTTTTCATTCAGGAAGTATGACGCTGCGCTGTCAGTGCGCTTCTCCATGTTTGTGATTGGTCGAATGCTCCAAATACCACCCCTTTCATGTGAACGCGCACCTAACTAGATAGGAAACGGCTGGCTTGAGCGATCCACTTGATAACCAGCGTCGTAGTACAGTTTAGCGAGAGCGCGTATGTTTTGGATTAGGCCAACCGGCTAACTCAAACATATACAGGTTAGGTTGAACCAGCTTCGTAGTATAGGCCCCAGGCTTAGATGGGCTACATATCAAAGGATATTCTGTGGGATTCCGCAGTCAAACCATTCCATCAAACACTTTTTGGTGTTTTTGGAAGGTGCCTGCGGAATATATTGCTGGTAATTACAACTTCTTTTGGATGACAATAACAGGTGTCACAAGTTTATCCACCCTCTCAGAGAGGGAGCAGTCGAAACGCCCACATTTTTGACATTTCAGCTTAATGTATTTGTTTGAGGTAATGTGTTCCTGCAAACATCAAGATATTCACTGTCAGAGCTCGCAATACAAAACTAAATTATTTGAGCTGCATTTTCTCTAGAGTGTTACCGTAATATCCACATACTCTATGACCAATGTCAGACATATTATTGGATAATAATTGTTATTAAATTAATTTGTTCATTATTTTATTGTTGCAGTTGGTAAAAGAAAAGCTTTTTATTTGTAGCCTACTGTTTATACTATATTTTCTGTCAGCTAGTTTTTGTATTTCAGCAAAGGGATCAAAGAAGTTCATATTTACCTATAATAATCCACAATAGACTAGAATCGCATTTGGAGAGCATACACACTTTGATTTGTTGTGGAAAATATATAATAAATAACCCAAATGTAATAAGTTGTATAGTTCCACCAAAAGTAATTAACAATATTCTCCCGTTTGGGTAAAATCATCTGGGTAAAATAAACGTCCAAATTACCCTAATAATTTAATAACAAAATTAGTTTGTAATTTGAAGTAGGATACAGAAGCCTACCTCGACCTGAACTAAAAGGAAAGTGTAGCCTATAGTTACTGTCCACCAATGACCATCTCGCATTATTTCCATTATTTTCATTCATGGGTTTCATAGGCTACAGTCCATGGTTTTGTCACTATAACTTCTGCAGTCAAATATTAGTTTGCCTCCGCTAAAGGTAGTTTGTCTGATAGTCGTCGGTGCCCTCCCACTCGCTTAACAGGTTTAACTACGTCACGACGTTATAATTCTCAGTGACAGGTCATCCGTCAGACAGAGATGAGTTCCCTGCAGGAAGGAGACCTCACTCTGCGGGGGACCAGAGCCCCCAGCCGGCTGCAGGATGCACGCGACACCGAGGAGTCAGCACAGGTGAGTCCCGCGAGACGCGGGGTGGGGGGGGGGTGACTATCTGTCGTCTCCCAGGACAGAAGCAACACACTTCGGGTTCAATAACCCACTTTATCGGAATGACTGGAGGCGAGCTCTTCTTGGGAGGTCGTTGCATTTATTTAGCTCTTCTGTTTCACAAGATAGATTCACTAGATCACAGACCTATCCTTTTTCTGCTGCCTCGTTTTACTTCTAGAAAACATATCCCGCTCGCTCACTCTCGCTCTACCATACCCACCCACACATGCACGCGCCACACCCCTCTCTTAAAGGGGAAGCGATCTCACTTTGCATGACCCTAATGTCATAAATTATAACATTACCCCCACTCTGGATGGCAATTGCACACAATTCTAATCCAGCACAGTAAATTACATGGTACATTAAAGGGTACAACATTTCAGTGCAGATATATAGCAGTATTTGTGTGCACATATCACTGTGGAGCATAAGGAAACCCTGATAAAGGCATTAATAGCTGAGCTCTAAAATTCTCTAAATTCTCCATATGGTTATCAACCTGCTCTCCTCAAGTCTTCTTTTTCTTTTTATGTATGAACATATGAAACAATAACATTTAGCTTGGACATTAGTGAACAACATAACGGTGTCCATGAACAGTCCTTTAACTGTGGGGCTTATGTCCTCACCCACTCACCATACCAGACAGGTGGTCCTCTGTTGCGGCCCGTCCGTGGCCCTGGAACATGATGGCTCTGACGGTGCTGCTCTGCCACACTACCCCCACTAACCTGAATGTCCTCAGGGGTAGAAGAGTCCGGAGGAGTAGAGGGGACTGAAAGGGCAGCAGCGACAGACTCCACTTCTGGATCTGACGGGGTGCAGCTGGAGCCTTCCTCAGCTGCGGCGTCAGTTTCGGTGAACAGTTGAGATAGACCCAGGGTAGGATCTGCAGGATCCATGTCCAAGGCAGGGGCCGACACCTCCGTAGGTGTCCATCTCCGGGCGTGCTCTACAGCCCAGGCGTTGTCCAGTGGATCACGGCAGCGGTAGGGTTTCAACTGATCATGGTGAACCACTTTCACTTTAGTCATCAGGCCTTTCTGGATGCGATACACCAGATGTGTCCCAGAACGAAGTATTGTCCTTCGTACGACGGGAGAAACTTCCTGACTTTGTTTTGGACTCTCCGTGTTCCTTTAATCAGGTACCACACAGCATCACCAATATGGTACTGTGTGTGACAGCAGTTTTTGTCGTATTGTCTCTTAGCACGTTTTACAGACTCACCAAGGGCCTCTCTGGTGATTTGATGAGGCAGCTCCAGGCGTTGTCGGGTCTGCTGGATATATTGTGGCCAGTATCTTTTGTAGTGTGGCATTAAATCTTTCGACTTGGCCATCAGATTGAGGTCTGAAAGGTGTTGTGCGTGTTTTCTCAATGCCAAACAGCTTACACATTTCCTGAAACACTTCAGATTCAAAGTTTCGGCCTTGATCACTGTGCAGCATCTGTGGTGCTCCATAACGACACACCCACTCTGAAGCCAGCACTTCAGCCACAGTTACAGCCTGCTGGTTGGGAAGGGGTTAAGCTTCCACCCACTTTGTAGAATAGTCCTGTATCACAAGTAGGGCTGGGCGATTTGGCCTAAAAATAAAATCTCGATTTTTTTCTAACTAATGGAAAATGTTCTATTTAAACCTCGTTTTTTTTCTGTTTTTTTCTGTTTTTTTCTAAACAAACCAGACCAAGGCAACATTTTAATACATATTTTCTTTATTAACACAATAAAAATAAATGAGATTACCAAGTAGTCTAGGCCTATGTGAACAAATCAGTTGTTCAAGAATAAAAAAAATAAAATAAAAACAGCACCACTTGGCTGTCATTAATGTGCTAAGATTTTTTTTAAATCAAACTGAAAAAAAAATCTCTTGTAGGCCATCCCTGAAAAAACTTGTAAAATGAAATACAACAAATAATAAATAATGATAATGAAATTAATAATAAAAAAATACCCTCAAACAAAATAACATCCCTTTAACTTTCTAGGAAGTTGTCTAGAGGTTTTTCGCGAGGAAGACAAGCCTGTCTACTGCCTCTGGCTTGAGGCATGCTCTTTGGCATGTTACAATGTTACCCCCCTTACTGAAAACCCTCTCCGAAGGGGCACTTGTGGCAGGAATGGAGAGATATGTCTTGGCCAGATTACTCAGTCTGGGGAAGTTACCTTCATGTAGCTTCCACCACTGCAGTGGGTCTGTATCAGGGTCTGTCTCAGACGACAACAAGTAGGATGACAGCTCAGCTTCAATTTTGTCCTGCTCTGACTGGGAGGTAGACGACACTGTCAGTGTCTTGTTCTTGAAGAAGCTTGCTAGAGTTTTCTTCTTCTTTGTAACAGGTTCAGCAGCTTCTTCTTGGTGCAGGTCCTGCACAGATGTGCCAGGCTGGGATTTGCTTTTCTCAGCTGGAAGAGACATCAGCTCTGTAACAGCTCTTTTCTTGATTCCGTCCACTTCGTCATCTGCTATATAGGTTGTCCGGAACCAGAGGTTCATGAGTGAGGCCATGTCCAGGAGTTCCTGTGTTACAGGGTCATTGTATTTATTGTTGAGGTAGTTGAGTATGTTGCTCTTGATTTGTTTGGTGAGCTCGGTCTCACCCTCCTCTGGCTGCAGAAGGCTGTTGTTTAACAGGTGGATTACCGGTTTGAGGTAGGAGACACTCACGTAGGCCTCACCAGATAGGGCATCAGTGAATTCCTTCAGTGGACTTACAGCTTTATTAATTGACTCCAACACGTCAATGTCCTGCCAGGTGGGCACCAGGTGCCTGCTTTTCTTGTCTGCTCCCAGGACCTGTGCTATGGCCTTCTCCTGTTCCAACAGTCGTTCTACCATCAGTTGTCTCGAACCCCACCTGGTTAGGGACTCGGTGATGAGGTTGTGAGATGGTAGACCGAGCTCAGCCTGTACCACTGCCATATCTCTTCTCTTCTTCCAACTGAAGGAAAAGGCACTTACAACCTTTTTGCAAACCCCGATGGCACGGTCAATCCGTGGATCTTTCATACCATTCACTATACAAAGGAAAGAAAAAGGGAAGAAACCAAAAAGGAACATTTTAGAATGGCACCATTTAATCAATGTGACAAGGACAGCATTCACACATTGTGATAGTCTTTTTTTTATGATTTAAATATTATTATAAATGTTCCATGACAGACAAACACAAGAAAAAACTGTATGACAATACAAGGACATGGCTGTAGCACAAACCAGTGGGAGGAGGGAGGGTTACAGTGTTAAATTATTGTATGCATGTGTTTCTCTTTAACACAGGATAACACGCATACATATTATCTTACACATTATGATAGTCTAACACTTCTTAATTAAGCTTAATTCTGTTTGACAAAGAAAAGAAAATGTTTCACACTGTAAGTATAATTTAATGAATGCGTAGCCTACACACACGCACACACACTAGTATTACATTATTTATGCATTTATGGCAACTATGCATAACTGTATCAAGGCTCCAGACTTTTTTACTGAATATTCCAATCTTTATTCCAGACTCAAGGTCCATATCACACAAAAAGACAAAACACACATCAATAAATAAGTTAAAAAGCTAAACACAAAACAGATAAAAACAAATGGATAAAAACATAAAATCAGTCCAATCACAGAGAGCCACACATGCTCACTGTCTGTAGAGGCTGTTGCGCCAATGTCTCTAAATCATGGAAGAGAACCGGGTAGAACTCTTCACAGGGTTAATTAAAATCGAGATAACATAATTGTCCGAGTCTTCTAGGCGACACATGAATTTGTACATTAACTTTCTTAAAAGGGCTTGACAAGTAGGTACCCCCAAGTTAACAAACAGCTGGCTGGCACTGTGCCATCTTGGTACCCTCACCAGCAACCGTACAGCATCATTGTATGCAATTTTTAGTTTTTGCATGCTTCTAGTCTTGTAGTTACTCCACAGGTGAGCCGTGTACAATGGTGTACAGAAAGCTTTAAATAGTGATACCTTGACATCTATAGAGCAGTGGTTCTCAACTGGTCAGGCCTCGGGACCCACTTTTTACTTGGTCAATACATCGCGATCGCGACCCAACATTTTGAAGCACTCAAATCTATTCAACAAAAAATCGTGCTGTAATATATACGCTTTTCAGCATACAATATTAATGAAAGTGAAGTACAGTGCATATATCCCTTATATCCCTTCACAGAACTAAAGTATGCTTTTAAAAAAGGTTTAATGAGATGATGGAATCAAAGCTGAACTATATAAAAAGACACATGCTGAAAACCCAACCCCAGCAGGGGGTCTGGGGGGATTCTCCCCCAGGAGATTTTTAGAAATACTAACAAACTATGCATTCTGGTACACTCCGAGAAGAAAATAAATAAATCTATTACTACCCGACATGTTAATAATATTTTATGCCATTGTTTGTTTTTCACTTTGTTCTGACATCTTGCTGCGAGAAGAGTAAAGAGGAGATGGTCTGTGTGACTTACTTCAAATTGTGGGTAATAATAATAATAATAATAATAAATAATATTTTTATAGCGCCTTTCAGGAAACCCAAGGTCGCTTTACAAGTCGGGTAGGGGGGGGGGGGGGAGTAGGGGAAAAAAGGCAGACAGGTTAAGGGGGTGGGGGGGGGGGAAGTAGCGGAAAAATAAACCTATTAAACTAACTATACAGTGGCGAAAGCCTTGGTAAAAAGGTGCGTTTTGTAAGGGTAGATAGCTCCCATTGTTCTGTGACCTGTCAATCATCAAACCGGGGGTCATATTTCATTATGTGTTCATTTTTATCTGAAGTTGTACCCATGGATGTATAAAGAAGAGTTATACCGCAAAGTTATTCACCGTGGGGACTTCTGGCAACAATCTTGATTCTGATTGGCCAGAAGACTCGAAAAAACATCAGCAAAGATATTTTATTGAGAAGATGATCACTACGTGACAGAAGTTTTCAAAACC